CAACCCAAAGCATTCCAAAATCAGGCCTCCCCACATCGCAAAATTGGCTTAATTATGAGATTTAAAATATATTAAAAATGTTGGTATTTTTTATTTGCTTTTTGATTTCTGAGCCTTTAGGGTGCACTCAAGTCATATTCTCATGCATTTCTCTGCACCAGGAGAGCTAGAAACATACTCTTTTTTTAGATGAAATCTGCAATAATTATGTGACTCCAGCGCTGGGGCTTTAAGAAAATTAACAAATATCACGAGACTCATGATAAAATCACAAGAGTTGGAAACCCTGATGATGTTTAGTCAATATTTTAAGAAGGCGCTTTCACAGAAATGTCCTCCCTTAATTTTCCATAAAACCCGTATATGTGCGCATGTGTGCGCAGTCTCACGCCCACAGAGAGAAAGGGGTGATGTTCTGGGAAATCTGTTCTTTTTGTATATCCATTTAAAGTACAAATATGTTTTCTTAAAACCATAGCCGAGGAGGAGAGGTATCAGCACTTAGAACCAAACTTCTTTTAAGTGCATTTGCTGGAAATATTTGTACTTTGCTCCTGGGTGGCGGATTCTGAGCATACTGATTTTACTGCAGTGTTTAATTTACAAAATCTGAAATAGGGGTAACAGGGGCTCTGTAAGAGGGCGGTAAAGTATGAAACCAAACCCAATTCATCACCACTGGTGGTGAAAAGTATGAATGGTGAAAAGTAAATGATTAAAACTTTTAGTTAATATTAATAACACAGCTGTGTTTTAATATATGATATTTAACTTATTGCCCCCCTAAATGACCCACAGAAACAACATGGGTGGACGTTACTTTTGCAAACAAAGGGGACACTTGAATTTTTTAGTTGTCTTTTAACAAATGATTAGCACATATTAACTAACACCGTTGTAAATTCTAGTATAGCTACTACACAGATGTTTGTACCAGGAGACAAATGTGCGTTGCTGATTGCTCGGCACAAATTTTTGTTGCTGTAGACTACAGTAAAGATTGACTAGTAACAAATGGTTTTGTACTGTCTACACCAGAATTTATAATTGCATTAGTTAACATATATTAATTAACGTGATTAAAGCACAACTAAAAATTCAGATGTAAACATACTCCATTGGAGAAACTCATCTAGAAAAAAACATTGTTAGGTGACAAAGAACATATAATAAAGGCCTGGCCAATATCCATTCCCACAGCTAGCAGATCTGGAAAAGAGTAAAATTTCAAGATCCTTTATGGTGGCCCCAACGTTGATCCCCTGTAGCAAAATCAACAAAGGCGGTTTAAGAACAGTTGACTGTACACAATAATATTGCTGCTAAAATTTGTGTTAAAAAATGTCTGAGGACAAATAAAATTTGTGTGTGTGTGTCATGTAATATGTGTAATGTTTGACCTTCCTGCATGATTCCCTATGCAGGATATTCCCAGTGAGGAACTGGAAGTTCTGCCAGGCAGAAGTTTCAGCATCCCTGGAAATCTTACGTAATTGGTGGGGAGGGGATTTGGGGATTGGCTTTTCCACACACCAAAAGAGGAGGGAGGGGGAGGAAAGGCAGCCTTCCTGCTTGTGAAGATACATTTGGTTCTGTTTTCAAAGTTAAGTGATGCAGTGCTATCTGCCTCATTCTGCAGAGAGCCTGAAACAGTAGCTCTGAGAAATCTGTGCTGTCCCATTCATCTCAGTGAGATGTTAGTCTGAAATCGAGAGATGATTACATGTCAACATTAACTATTTCACTACTGAGTAGAAATATCCAGCTAATGTACTTATCCCACTGTTCAATGTCTCATGCCTTCCCGTGTCCCAAAGGCTCCAGTCGTCTCTCACCTAGCTGCCAAAACCTCTAGCTTTCCCCCTTGATAATTTCTGCAGCGCAGTTGTGCATTGTCAGTAAAATATTTGTGGCATATCCCAAACCGAAAATGTGGAAACAATGCAAAATAAATGAAATTTGATATAAAAATCATTATACAGGGGATGTTGCAATGATTGCAGTATTTATTTTCATTTTCAGTAACACATTAAATTGCCAGGGCTAGCAATACGCTGTCTTTCCTAGGCCTCTGTTGGAGGAAAAGTTGAAATATTCAGCTTGTCAGGTGATCTGATGGGCTGGGTATAAGAACCTGCAATGGTTTAGTTTCAGATATTCAGTAAACTAGCATTGCTTAATGACAGAGGAAATTAAGCTCGAATCCAGAGTAAAAGCTATGCAGCAACATCATAGCACTGACAAAGAGAAGAAAAGCTCTTAATGAATTTGGATTTTGTTATGTTCTTTAGGTTAGTTATTGCATGCATAGAAAATAATCCTAAACCAGTCTCCAATCATATTCTTTGATGGGATTACCTATAGCAGAGCAGATCTTGAAACAACCAGCGTGTTTAGGAATGAGCTGGAGGGAGCAGGGAAAAATGTTTACAAGCAAAAGTGGGTGCCACAAGATCCGATGATGATATTCATCCCTAATGCAGACATACCTGAACAAAGTATGCTACAGCAATGAAAGCAGACGTTCATTTTCATGTATCGTCTGGGGGAAACATTCCTAGAAGAAGAGATGTTGATAAGACCGTAGCTGCAGAGACCCATATATTTACTTGGTAATATATATCTCAAAGTTTTCAATTTAGCCTCAGTAATGGGAGGGAAGATGCCAAATAAGAAAGCACTATTGCTTATAATCACAGTTCTGCTCACGTTGTCAGTGTGATCTCAGTGAATTAGCGAATTTTCTCTGTGGTAACAGCCTTATTAATTTCTAACCCTTGTGGCAAAAAACCCATTAATTGTGTGGTGGAGTTAGGATTTCTTTTTGGGTTTCCAATTAAACCCACAGTGATAACCAGTTATATGGGCCATATAATCATACAATCTGCTCATTATTTTATTTTTTGGGGGGAAAAAAATCTTTCAAGTACTAAAAAAAATTACAGGAACATGTGCAAGTTACATACCAAACAGTTCCTTCCCACCTCACCCAACTTGCAAAATAAAGGCCAGGCAAGTAAACTCAACTAAATACAATTGAATCTCACTGATTTGCACCAGTACCTAGGAGGTACTTTATGAATGACTGAACTTTACAAATTAACAAGTCAGTGAACAAATGCAACAAAAACTCGTTTCATTTCTTTGACAAGTGAACTGTGGTTTAGGCCTAATTATTTATGATTGTGCTTCATAGGATACTAGTATGTAGCAATGTGATCTATCCATTCCTAGCGTACCCACCCTTGTAGCACTTGGGCACTATTCAGGAAATGTTTTGTAGTATATGTGATAAAGTAAATAGATTCTTGGTAGTAAAAAAAAATACTAGGTAGAGTATTCTTCCATTAAGGCCCTGTCTATACAAGCAGTTCGTCTTTTGAACTAATGTATTTATGCCAGTGCAAACCCCAAGTGTAGATAGGCTGCACCAGGTTTGCAGTACTGAAGTTTACCCCAATAGGTTATCAGGGTAAGTTACACTAGTAAGTGCCCCGTTTTGTACTGGGATGGTTTGTCACCCTTAGGAAAGGAAGGATATGGTCTGTCCAGTGGTTGGGGTAATACTCCAGGACTTGAAAGACACACGTTCAAAACCTTAATCTGTCACAGACTTCCTGTGTGACTGTGGGAAAGTCACTTAATCATTGTGAATCAGTTCCCTACCTGTAAAGAAGGGTAATAGCACTTCCCTAACTCACAGGGTTGTTGTGAGGCTAAGTGCACTCAGTGATGGGGACTATTTAAGTATCAAAGATAGGGGTTTATATCAGCACAGTTACACTGCTGCAACTTTCCCTAGTTTACACTGATCTTAGATTTCACTGAGGATGGGGAGGGACAGCTAATGAACACATAAACCCACACTTCACACACACACGTCACCTGAGTCTGGATTAGGAAGCAGTAGTGAGAATAAAGATCTAAAAATCTTCAGAGTTTTGTACAAGATCCTTTGGCTCCATATAGTATGGACTCAGTAGAATGTTCTGTTACACAATTTCTGGATATGATCTTCTGTGATATTGCTCCATGTATCTTGTTTTATATTACACCGTTCTGTTATTTGTCGGCTCTTCTTGTGACATTTTCATTGTGTGGTCCAAATTCTCAGCCTGCATAAACTGGCAGCACCCCATAGACTTCAACGATGCTGTGCCAGTTTACACCAGCAAAGAATTTGGACTTATGTGTGGAGGCCGCCACACAGCTCAGGACATAAATAGGTATATATGCCTATTTTAAAAAAAAAATAGAGGAACACTGCTAGGCTTTATGTTTTCTTATGAATTGTCTTATTTCTCTTAGAGATAACACATCACATTACTAAAATTGAAGGCATTTTTTAAAATCAAATCAATTTTATTCTTATGCTGGCTTTTCACTTTTTTTCCTTTCATTCAGTTCGATCCTTCAAAGTGCTGAGCACCAGCAAAGCACTTAAGTGTGTGTTTATCTGTATGCATTTGGCTGGTCCTACTGCGGTCAATGGAGCTATTCATGTGTTTAACATTAAGCATGTAGCTTAGTGCTTAGCTTGACTGAAATCCTGTTGCTCAGTCTCTTGCAGGATCGAGCCTAGTAGGAGACAATTCTGGCCCAGCTGACAGTGATGTTATTTAATGGTCCATGCACTTGGTCATTTAATAAGATATGTGGTAGTAGCTATTGGTTGGGTGGAAAAGGTCTGACTGGATTATACATCTCTAGAATCCATGTTCTCTGATTTCTTTATTGATGTTAATATCAGGGCTTGGTGCTGGGCCTGCCATATCATGTATAATTTTTTACCGTCTTGTTTTCCTGTCAGGAAAGTGTTTACCTTTTGGATTGTTCATGCTGCTGCATTATGGAGTCTTAAACAACAGGACATTTCTGATCTTCCACAGTTTTCTCCCTAAGCGCTTTGAGTATATAGATTTATGTTCATATTTAAAGTAATGCATGTGAGGGTTTTAACCCATGTAACTGTTATGGGCTCTGTTATGTATCTGCTTTAGGGTCGACCCTATCCCATATGACACTCCAAAACCAACGGGCCACACGCGATTTGTCTGCGTCTCAGACACACACTCCAGAACAGATGGCATCCAGATGCCTTATGGGGACATCCTTCTCCACACAGGCGATTTCACCGAGCTGGGACTGCCCTCCGAGGTTAAGAAGTTTAATGACTGGTTAGGTAAGGAATTATTGCATTTTGGTGACCCCAATTAACCTTTTTTGTACAAGTGTCACTCACTGCTTTCTAATTGAATTAAAGCACTTGGAGACCCCACCTCCACAACCCCTGCTTCAGTTGTTCTTGTGTGATGTGCTCTGTCTAATATGATTGTGTTAATTAAAGATGAATTGAGATATTTTGCTTTATCACTGCATTATCTTGGGGTAGGGACCTCTGTCATTCCAAGGCAAGGGTACAGGAGCTATGCGGCAGCTCTGAGTGTACACTGTTATGGTGAGACCGGATGTGTGCACACAGTATGTCCCACTGGCAGCTGGCATTTCTGTAGCTCTGGGTCTGCAACCAAAAAACCCCTTTTCCCACCATTGGGAGGGGCAGCTTCAAAGGGATTGTACTAGGCAGTATGTGGTTGTGGTTACTGAATTGAGTGCACCTTTTAGATAAAGGAGGGCTGGCATTTTAACCCTTTGACTGCTGACTTCTGCTATGCTCTGGAATCTCCCAGATGGAAGCACCTATTGCCCTGGTGAATTTGCCAAGTGTGTCCTAGTGGTCAGTTGATGCTGGTGGGTCATTAAGAGGATGACAGCAGCTCCGCAAGAATTGCGCAGGTTACAGCAAGTAGGTTATGCTCAGGAGAATGGATTTTTCCATGTGCCAGGCATCATTGTTACACATGATATCATGAGGCAAGTTATGTATTGCCATGTCACTGTTTGCACTAGGGGTATTAAAGACGCTAGGATGGCCCAACAGAGCAAGCACGTCTTCCAGAATCTCTTCCTTCTCAAAATAAATCTGCAGCAGTATATAAAAGCTTTTAAAAGCGTTGCTGAGTCATTGCATTGTGCCCCAGTCATTGCACTCTCTCTCAGCTGCTGCTGTATGATGACCATGTTGCTAAAGGCCTTTAATAACATCATTGGAATAAATCCCATTGGATTCTCTTGGCTGGCCCTTAGGGAGATGAGAGGACTTTTTTTTTTTGGTTCATAAAAAAAACCCAAAAGTGCTTCCCTTCCACATCCTTTGCCTTTCTCACCCTCCTCCTTGCGTTTCCTCTCCGTGACTTGTGCATTTATATATATTCTTACTCTCTTTCACCCACTTGCTTTCAATGTCTCATAGTCCCTTGTCTTATTTTAAGAATACTTGCCCCTCCTCTGGCTGTTGTATACTGGATACAATGGCTCCTAGTATCCCTCACCGCCATCATGCTGCAATTATGCCTCACCAGCTTTATGATTAGAAAGTCCTAGTGTATTCAAATGGTTCAAAACACATCCCTTTCTGCAACAGTGTTAGTACAGGGTCAGAATGTGACAGGAGCTTATGTGGGTGTATAGGAGGAGAAGCATACAAAGAGCCATCTTTCACACCTTTTGTGCAGCCTCCGCACAGGCCTGTCAAAACTGGAGTCCATATGCACAGACGTGTGCAGACACTCCTGGGGATACATGGTTTCAAAAGAGATTGAATATGCTCCCCCCCAGAATGAGCCAGTCCCACTAGGGAAGTAGGCAGCACTATTGTTAAAGATGGCTCAGTCTTCAGACCCCTTCTGTGGCAGGCTGCTACTGGAAGGATTTGCTGTCCTGAGCCCACAGACCCAAGTACCCACTATGGATGGAGCTCAGTGTAGCGTCTAAATATTGGATCATTACTCCAAAATACCATAGTAGTATCTTGATAAGGACAGTGCTGAGCTACAGCACTTTACTTGAAGATGCCAATCTGCGCTGCAGGAAGCCAGCACAAGTAAATATTTTCATTGTTCCATATTGAATTTTATATATCAGAGATACCCCTTTATTTAACAACCAATTATTATGATTTGATTTCATCACATAAGCCTCTGGTGTCTGTGCTTACTATATGCGTGCAGGAGTTACATGAATAGTACCTTTATTCATATTGCTCTGTGGTTAATATTAATTACATGAGTTATCATTCATTGAATAGATACTCCAATATTTATTTAAGGGATTTCTTTGTGTGTGTATACCACACACACACAGGGCTGGCAGAGGTTGGTGTGGCATGTATGTCTAATAGGCCAGATTCTGTAGTCTTAGGCAGTGAGAGCACCATATGATTTGCCCTTGCACTTCTATATTTCTCTCGCATGTCTTAAGGCGATCTCTATTGTATTTCATTCTGGTTTTGGTTGTCCATAGAGTCCACCTGTAACTTCATACACAAAACAATACCTGCCATTCTGTTTGCATATTAGAATGAGGCTGCAAATGATTTTTTCCCCACCATATAATGGTTGCAGTTATTCTTAGCTTTCTTTTAGGTGATCTGTTGTCTTGAGTTCTGTTCATACCTCACAGTGATGAAATTCCCCTACTCTCCTTGGGACGTGCCTGTACACTCCCCTTTATTTACACAACGCATAGAGGAACTGAATGGCCCTGTGGAAGAAGGTGGGGGAAGGACTGGGCAACACATCTCTCCTGCCTAGTGTGTAGCCATCTCTCCCTTCTGTGGCTACTGTGAAAAATGTCATCACCATGAAACCATGGAGAAAGGCCATGCCCTGAGCACTGCCCAGCCTGCCCCTCTCCATCTCTATAGAGAGCATCCACGAAGGTGGTTGTATAGCATGAGATGGTGATGGGGGGTGTGTGTGTGCATACCATATAGGTGGCACTCCTCCATTACATGCCCTGCCTGTGTGGATCTGTTGCTATTTGCTCTTCTCCTCTCCCGAAATTAGAGCATTGTGACTTTAGGCAAGTCACTTGGGGCCAGAACTTTAAAGGCATTTAAGCACTTAACTCTGAATGGCTTTAGTGGGAGTTAGGCATCTAACTTCTTTAGTTGATCTGAGCCTCAGTTTGCTAGCTGTAAAATGGGGATAATAACACTGCCCTATCTCATAAGAGTGTTGTAAGGAGAAATATATTTAAAATAGTGAGATGCTCAGATAGTGTAGTAATGGGGGCATAGAAATATCAACATATGTTAGAGATGAGAAAATCATCTTCTGTATCCTATTCTTAAGATTTGTTCTCACTTCTGCTCACTGGTATTCCTTTTGTCTCTCATTCTGTCTTAGCTGTTCATCCCATCCTGTTGGTTAGGGCCTGTTCCCAAAACCTTTCTGCACACAGAATTCCCAACAAAGGCTATGAGTGTATCGCAGAAAAGGTGGGGTTTTGTACAGCAGAATAGCTAACGCAGGTTAGTGATTCTGCTGTAAAATCCTGGTGTGAAACCAGCCACCTGTAGTTTTCAATGCAAGGTAGCTAGGTCAGGTCAATACTGTACTCTCACCTGTGGATGACCTGGTCTAATTTACCTCACAGTAAAACTACAGGGCCTTGCTCCACTAGGATTTTAGAGGGATTGCTAATGTACATTGGTTATCCCATTGTAAAAACACACCCTTTTGGCAGAAAAGACAAAGCCAAAGTCAAGAAATTAATATCCTACCCCACTTTTTCTTGATTAAGAGTTTTGTATGCAGGACTGAGTCCTTCGTTTTGCCTTATGACTCTTAATTCTTTGTACACCTGAAATGTCTGCTGAACTCAGTGGGGGTTTTGGCTGCATAAAGTGTTTAGGTTTGTGTCTGTCTATCTGCATCATTCATATATGCAGTGTTGTTGCAGCTGTGTTGGTCCCAGGATATTAGGGAGACAAGTTGGGTGAGGTAGTATCTTTTATTTGACCAGTTTCTGTTGGTGAGAGTGAGAGAAGCTTTCAAGTCTACACAGAGCTCTTCTTCGGGTTCTCTCACCAACCGAAATTGGGCCAATATAACAGTGTTTCTCAGCGACTGGTCCATGGACCAGTGCTGGTCCCTGAGATCTCCCTGACACAGTTTAGGAAGGCAGCAAGCTAGTCCCTGGTATCAAAAAGGTTGAGAAACACTGCAATAGAAGATATTATCTCTTCCACCTTGTTTCATTAATGTCAGCTCTTCTTCCTCTGCCTGTTGTGTTTTTCAGCCTTGGTACACCATTCATCAAACCCTGTCTTCCACATCATGTCTTCTCCTCCCTATAGTTAGGTAGTCTTATAGCATAACTTTTGCTAATTCTTATACTTTTTTCCCTTGACTGATAAATTTTCATTATTGGTTTTGCATGAAACTCTTCTGGGCTTGTGCACTGAATAGCCTCTGTGGTCACTTAGTGATTACACATGCCAGCTGAGGTAATTTATTCACTTTGTTTTGGTGTGAACATGTCCCATGGGTCTTGTAACTGCTGTAATCACTTGACCTTAGTGGCTGTTAAATGCTTTAAACACAGTTATTTTAAATTTATAATTGTTTTCATTAAAAATCCCTTATAGTAACTTAACTGACCTTGCAGTAAACAGCATTATATGCTGGGGAAGAATTAATATATTATGCTATGGCTAATATACTTCTTTCCAAATATACTTAGTATATAATTATATCACAATGCACATTTTCCCCTTCCCTTCACATTGAGTCATATATGGAAAATTAAAAAGAAGAATATGTAATTATAGCATAGTTGGTGATATACAGTATGTCCTTTCCCATGTACTGGGAAGTGACTGAATAAGTCACAAATGCAAAAGTAAAGGGAAAGCAAAGCTGAATTTACGTAATATATATCTGTAATGACTTGAAGGTATATTTATAGTGTCAGATAGGGCCTGATCTTGCAAACCCTTGCTCACATGAGTAGTCTGCATCAATTTCAATAGTACTTTTCATGACTGAGGTACTGTTTACAGGATCTGTTTCTACACCAGCTGAAGTTCTTCAACCACTTTTTTTTTTTTAATTGCTACTACTATTTATTGCCTGAAATGCTTGTTCTGTTCTTACTTAGGCAAAACTCCCCCATGGGAAGTGCAGGATTCGATGAGTTGGGCTGTTGGGCAACAGTGATTTCAATCTGGAATAGCTCCTGTGAAGTTGATGGAGTTACCACAAAAATACATCACCATAACTGAAAATAAAAAATTTGACTCATTGTTTCTGAAATGTTTGGGAGGGGCAAAGTGAT